TCTTTTTCTGGCTGCCCATTCTATCATTGAGCGTTGACAGAAGGAATGACTGATTACAATGGAATGTTTCTAAGACATGGGACTGGGATAGTTAGAAAACTTGTTTACCTCAGGGTCGCAGATAGGATGACCATCACAAATATGATTCCAGGATAGCAGGTGGCATGGCTACAGGAAGACTGGTAGCTTGAGAAAAAATTCATCAAATGATTAGAAGAGAGGTGCTTCCAGAATAGGAAGTAGAATGGTTAAAAGAACAGAGGTGTTTCCAGAACAAGAAACAGAATGTTTAAGAGAACAGAGGTGCTTCCAGAATAGGAAACAGAACACAGAACGGTTACAAGAACAGGGGTGCTTCCAGCATAGTAAATAGAATTGTTACAACAATAGTGCAGCAAATGGTTATTTTTTTTGTCATACAAGCCCTGTAGCTGCAATATTCTCATAACACTATAGTCTATAGTTAGATATCCAAATACTGTTTTAAGTTATGACTCTTACATTTTCTCAGTGATCTGCGATTCCGAAGCCTCAAAAAGGCGGGCGGCGGCACCTGGGCGTTAGCCCATTTATTAAGGAAATTATGCAGGCTAAGTGTTCCATTGCACGGGCAGTATCCGGGAATCCTTTACAAAACTTGTTCTTTAAATAAAACACATACAGTTCCGCAAAAGCAATCTCCTTTTCCCCAAAAAGAGAAGATAATCTTTCAGCTCATGGTGCAGGGAATACAAATTCCCCTGGAAAGATTATACTTGCTTGCAAACAAATGCTAGATAGAGTCATTGCACGGATCAAGACGATCAAGGAAAAGTACCATCACCATTTTCCGTACAAGTCGCGAAATTGGTCAAGACAGAAACCCACGTTCCCACATGTTCATCACTTTTACAACACAGTGCAACATTCCTCACAATGAAACAGCTTTTTGATGAAGGAAGGCCGGGTGAAGCCTTGCTGTTGAGAGATTTATATAGTTGTTCAGTATTCAATAGTAGATCAGCCGCAAAGGAAATGCTCAAGATCTCCTTGCTCTTTTCAAATCTATTGAATATGTTGAACATGTGGTGGAAAAAAACGCCATCATTCATTCGCGGAAAAAAGCCGCTGTATTTGGAAACTGTACATTGTCAAAAGATTTCAAGAGGTGCGTTTCCAGATCAAAAGAAAGACAGGGAATGCATCCACGAGGTCCAACATGCCTACCAATAAGTTCAATGCCCTGTCAAAGATATTCATGTGAAGAAATGCAATGTTCAAATCTCAGTTTACACCACCGCCATCCCCAATTTTTGGGCATTCAAACACAACTTGTCGAGTAACATGCAATTTGCAGCAGACAGGATAGAGGTGTATAGAGTAGAGAGCAAAAACCAGTTGTGCTGTGGAGTCCAAGCCAGGAGTCTGGACATGCTTTTAGTTGTCATGTTCTGCAAGGTCTTGAGCTGCTGTGGTGCCGAGTTTGCCCCACCCTAAAGGGATCAACAAGGAGAATGGGCACTGGAGTAGTTCTGTCACTCTTATGCACTCTATACAATCCCTAAAAGATCTCGCACAATTATCGACAATTATGCAGCACATGTCAATGTGTATATACAAATTGCCACTTCCAATTGGACAAGTACGCTGCCAAGGCTTCTCGTTGTTAACAGCAAAAATGGTACAGTTGCACGCGCAATCTACATTATCAGTCTACTGTACTGTCTGCACTGTCCGCACTGTCTGCACAAGGTTACTGCGCGCATTGTGTGTGGGAGGATGTCTGTACGGCAACTGCTTGCAAAACAAAGGGTCAATAAGTTGAAGTTGGTGAAGTCAGATCTCAATCTTCGTGGAACGTTGCGACGAGATCTCCGATTGATGTGACTGCTTTCTATCTGCCTCTGTCACCGAGAACACGACAACGACCTCACCACACCCAAGGCCCCAAATATCAAAAAATGAAATGCGTTGGCGCCTGTCATTCCTAAACGCAAACCCGCCAAAAATGCCAAAAAAATATATAGCACTAAAATCACTAAAACCATGGGACACCTGGATGATGAGATTGAAAAGATCTGGTTAGCTGCATCATGCCGGATATATGTTGAACTCCTTCTGGATACAAGCGCCTTGCTTATGAAGCGGCTCAATAAAAGTTTGCTGAAAAGTTTGGAGGCAATTTTTCAGCTGGTCCATAGCAAAAGCGAGAACATGCCAAAAGAAGCGCCAAACAAGAGGTGCCGGTCCAGGAGTGCCCAAATCAAAACACAAATATAGGAAAACCTGTGAAAAATATGTGGCAAACAAAAATGTAGTTTAAGGATGAATGAGCCAAGCACGCTGGCAAATCATCAAAGTAATATACCTTCCCAACGAAGGTCTCCTCTTCATCCAATGATTCTGCTTCTTGATGGAGTCGTTGCAGCAGCTGGATGGTATGAGACACAGGAAAAACATCCTTGGGTTGGAAGGACAGGTCAAGCAAGAAACCGTTCAAACTGTTTTGTTTCTGGAATTTTGTTTGGAACAGTGTGAACCTTTGGCAAGTATCTTATGCATATGGTACAGTGGGACCAGAACCCATGGCCATTTGAGCGGGATTGCTCAAACTCTGCACAAGAATACGTGTGTGTACGTATGTGGTTCTGTTAACCTTAAATTCAGAGTGAGAAAGTCCAGCAGATCCTTTTATTGAGAAATGCTCAGATGCTGGATCCTTTTTTGAGAATGAATTGGTTGTTTTTCGTACACAGTGGAGCCATGCATCTTGCAGATGGTGGTGATTTTGACCCATGCATGCATGCACACACCATCAATCACACACATGTTTTTCATTTTTCCCAAAAGTTGGCTTAAAGTTTGAAGCAGATCATTGACAAGTGGATACGAGTGGTTCACACTATTTCATACATTCACATAGACCCATGAAAAGCAAAAAAATCTATAGTAATTGAATCCAACTGTTGAAGGCCTAGCAACATCCAAAAACAATTTTTTCAAAGTCGGGACACTGCAAAATTCGACTTTACCCAGGCACACACACAACCCACACAACCAGAACTACCCTAACCCACAAGATATTTGTGTGTGTGTGACACATCTGCATAGATTTAAAACTTCCTAAGTTTTGTGGCAATCATGTATTTACTCTTTTGTACGCAGGGGGCCAGGAACCCATCACTGTCTGTCCTGGCCAACGAAGACCAGACGGTATGGGGGTGAAAACGTACCTGCAATATTCTTCGTGATGGGACGTGGCTAACCCGAGAACCACCATGCCGTTTTTAAACAACTTTTTTACATGGTTTTACATGGTCGCCGACACTTCGTCGCCGATGCATATTGGTTGCAATCTTCGCCGACGACATCGCCGATGACATTACTTTTGGTTGATTAACTTTCTGATCCTTATTCTATTCTTTTTGATGTCGATTCAGGGCATGGAGAACATTCAGGAGAACTTCCATTATTCGTAGGATACGTCGTAGATTATTTTGTTTCTCATCTAATTTGCATGTTACAGGATTCAGTTCCTGCCGGATCACTATAATGATCCATTCTTGTCTAGTGTGATTCCTATGGTGACTCCGACAAGGTGCCATTGAGGCAACCCCTTTGTGGGTGACTGTGGACAGACTTGACTTCCGAATTCACACATTTTAACTTGGTAATTCGTTTAAGTAAAGTGCAACAGTTGGCCTTGCGGTTTTCTGCCACTTTTTGGTGAAGTCCTGCCGTTCCGGATGTCCCAGGGACCTTTGTGAACTGCTTTCTTTTCAGAGTGAAGCCGTTCGGAACAACCAGAAACTCCTCTTTTCGATCACTGCAGCTCAAGCTTATGACATTCTTGACATCAGGCAAGACAGGCTCATGCTTGCAGGTTTGGTGATTCTTTCTTTTGATTGTGCACCTAATTCATTGGAACTCGTACAGCTGTTATATGCCTTCGGGCGCGACCTGACCACGTTCCCGGAGGGGAGTAACGCACGACCATTAGGATTTTAGGAACTGAGTCCTGCTTGAAATGTTATTTACTTCGACCTATTTTCTATATCCAAATTGAGCTATGTTTCCGTGGACTCCCTCTTCGACATCATGGCCGCCTTCTTCGAATCCCCCAGCTACGGCACCAACTTGGCCACCAACTTCACATCCTACAACGACCCCAACGCGTCCGCCTTTTGGATGGTCTTCAACATCACCACTAGTCTTCAACATCACCACCTCCTACTACACATCCAGCACCTCCTCAGGGATATCAACTTGACCCACAACATTATTCAATGACTCCATATTCCATGCCAACGACGTCTTCTTCTTCAGCGGATCATCTTTTTGGACATCCTTCTACTTTACATCCTTCGTGGCCTCCTACGACTTCGATACCGCCTTCAACCAGCTCGACATCACCACCAACGTTCTCGTCCCTTGCAAACTCACCTCCTACGTTACCACCTCAACATCACATTTTCCCTCCGACACCTACTGCGTGACCCCCCCTTTAGGTAAAGTTAGGTAACAGCCATAACCCACTTAGAGCAGTTTTAACTAGATATAAAAAAATAACTTGAGTCTACTTGAGTTTACTTGAGTTATGTTTGTGACCCGAACTTGAGCATCTAGAGGCAAGCAATTTCTACATGCCGCAGGTAATTGACAGAGCAATCAAACAGTGTGCCCTGAAATGTTTTGCTTTTGAATTATTGGAATTGTATTGTTTCTTGTTTGTTTTTATTAGACAATATTAGTTTGCCTCAAGAATGAACATGTTACATTCAGTTTAAAAACATGTTACAATTACAATATTTTTCATAAATCCATAATCAACATGAAAATTCAATATTTAAACACATATTCAACGTTAGTTTTTAATATTGAGCAGGTAGCACTTTTCACGTGCACAGAGCCAAAGGTGCACCTGTATGTTTAGGTGTTGTGGTGTTACCACATGGAGTGAAAATGACATGTCTCTTGCATGCCAAAAGTTGAGTCTGCTCATCATGTCGTCGTTGGCCGTGTCAGGTGTACTGGTAGTGCAGCAGGAGGTTATTGATTCTCGCTTCTCTTTCTTCGTCTAGTCGGTCGTCTTGTTCAGCTGCGTAGCGTGCGCATCTGAATCCATGCAGTCCTTCCAGGGACTGGAACTGCCAGTGGTTGTTGCCTTCGTGCAACAGATAGTTATCTCCTCCTTGAAAGAAGACTCGTACCGTAACCACTCTTTCATCTCGTTCTTGTCCCACCATCGGAATGTATGGTGCTTCTCGGTGGTACAGCTGTTCGATCACAGCTGAGGGAATTCTTCCATCTGGATACTGTCGCTGAGCCAGAGTGTGGATTTCCACCCCAAGGTTGTTTCCCTGAGTGACCAGGTGGTGGATATACATGTCGTGTCGCGCTTGTCGGTGTGCTCGACGAACTTGTTCTTCGTAGAACTCTGGGTCATGAGGTGCGTCATCCAGTGATGGGTCATCTTCCCATTCATATTCTTCTTCGAAGCTTTCACTTTCAGGTCGTTCACGATCTCCATCTCTTGAGCGTGAAGCGTCAGCTCTGAAAGGTCTCTCCAGGTGTTCTCCTTCAGGTTGTGGAGAGTCATCAGGTTGATCTGGAAGATCTCGTTCTTCATCAGGTTCATTAGCTTCGGGTCGGCTGTCATGAAGTCGACGTCGATGTCCTCCAGGTTCTTCAGGATGTGGAGATGCATGTCGAACTGCACGAAATAGGATGTCTATATCTCCTCTCGCTTCTGCAGACTTTCTGTTCAGTCCTTCAATCTCCAAAGTGGTTGTGTTGGCTGAGCACTCCAGGTCTATCACCCTCTCGACAATAGGCATGAGTGCTTGGTTCACCTTTTCGTCCATCAGGTGTCTCATAGAGCTCAGTGTTCTCCAAAGATACCATAGTGCTCCACATAGGCAGAAAATCGCCAGAGTCATGACTGACATGACTATGACCTGTGCGGATTGCCTTGGTGGTGAAACTTCTCCTCCTTCAATTCCATCAGCACTGCATAGTGCTTCTTCCGAGGTGCGCTTTGCTTGGGATCTCGTCCAAGAGCTTGCAAAGTAGAGGAACGTCAGCAGACGCATGTTGACCTTGGGTCCCCATGTAGAAGATGTACTCGATGTAGCGTAGAGCTGGATGTCGTTGATGTCCTTCACAGTGATGTAGGACTTGAGCCATGTTTCGTCGGTCTTCTCGAGGTCGTCCTCTTCGAAGTCTGTGATTGTTGGAAGGCGTCGAGCCTCAATCGCATGACCAATCTTGTTGTGGAAGTAGACGATTCCAGTCGTCATCAGCTCCAGCAAAGGTTTTGATGTCATGACCTTTGTCAAGGCATCTGAGGTCATAGATTCCGTTGGGATCAAAATGATCCAGCGAACTCTTCCTTGGATTCTTGCCTCTCTGAAGGCTAGGATGTAGATTCGTTGGCTTCGATCTTGAGGAAGCGCGGTCGTTCCAACTGTCAATGACCAAAAGTCTCTGCAGTCGGTGTAGGAGTCGATTGGAAGATATGGGATGCCCTTCTCCTGTAGTGCTGCCAGTTGCTGCAGCGTAGGTTTCTTCTCGGGCATCAAAAGTTCTGCAAGTCGCAGTGACACCAAAGTCGCTGTCTCCAGTCCAGAGATCGCTGCCAGGGTCTCAGAGTGGCTCGTTGAGTAAGACACTCGTTTGGCTTTTGAGCCATGTGCGAAAAGTATGTGGGCTGTTCCACCGAAGATCTCTTCTGCCACGTTTTCGCCATTGATCGTGTGGATCTTGGCGTCAAAGTTCATATGGTCTGGTGCCAAAAGAACTAGAACTCCTTCTTGAGCATATGTTCTTCCTTTTGAGGCAGCTGAAGCGTCATGGACGCAAAGTAGCTTCCATGGAACATCTCTTGAAAAGCTTCTAAAGATCAGGCCCACATTCTCATACTGCTTGAGCTTGGCTTTCTTGACCACGGCATTTGCCTGGTGGAAGTCGTTGACTGTCGCCTTGGTGACCTTGGATTGTAAGATGCCCACATCGGCAATCAGATCCAGTCGCGTTGCAGTCAACCACAACAGTCCTCCCAGTATGCTGCGGAACTTGCTGGTTTCGGCAGCTGTCAGTGGTCTGTCACCATTCTTGGTGTCCTCGATCTCTTGGGTCTTGAGCGCGTTGGTGAATTCCTGCTGGTCCATCTTGTAGCCATTGGGAATTTTGGAGTATCGTACTCCACAGTGAGTGAAGGGTGTCATCTGAAGTGAGATCTTGCCGAACTTCTTGGTCAGGAGTTGGTGCTGCTCGTCAAGAAAGGTCTGACGGCAGGCAATCGCCAAATCGTCCACATGTGTGGTGATGACTCCTTTGAGGGTCCCATCAGAGTTCTTGTAGTGCCACAGGCAGTCGTCCAAAAGAGATTGAACTCCTCCATGTTCTTCAAGGAATTGATGTAGTGTCATCTGCCATGCAAGTGGCGCGTCAGCCAATCCATATGCTGGTTTCAGACACTCCAAGCCGTAGGCACCATAGTCCTCTTCAGCAACATAGAGCTCCTCATGGAAGGAAGCCAAGTGTCTCCAAACGTTTGGCGGAGGCACAATCACAACTCGCCGTGGAGGCGATGGAACTCCTTTCTGGGCCAAGATCTGTCGGATCGTTTCGAAGGTCAGTCCCTTCAGGAAAGCTCCTGAAACGTCCAAGGAGGCCAGGATGAAGTCATGTGTGGATGCCACACTGAGAATGATTCTCTGTGACAATCTCGTCGCAGTTGTCGATCTTGTAGGTAGTTCTTGTTTCTGGGGATCCAGAAAGCCACGGGCGCAAAGACGGCTTTTAGCCTTCATCTTGCCATCAGGCATCCTCTTGTATTTGCGCACCCAAACTGCGTCGATGATGACGACGCTCTCGGGCAAATCGGAGAGCTTCACCTTCTTGAAGACCTTTTCTGTCACAAATTGGCTGAGCTCCTGCTTGTCGGCAGTTTCAAAGTCGTGCCAGTTGTTGATCAACTGCTGCTCGTTCAAGGTGTCCGTGTCAGAGTCGACTCTGAAGATGAGGCCATTCTTGAGGTCGATGTTGAGGTGTGCAGGCTTCTTGCAGTAGAGGTGAAGAAGGTAGTTCTGCTTGTTGATCTTGGTTTCTTTGGCTTTCTTCTGCATCCATCGATCATCAAGTTCATACCAGATTGGTGCAGGTTCCAAGACGATCTTCTTGGGTCTTTGCAACATCCACCAAATCGATCTTTGATGTAGAAGCTCCGTTGAAGTCCAATAGGTCTTCTGCTTCTTCTTCTCAGGGGCCAAAACGACTGTTCGTGAGTCAGGGCCCTTCCGTTTGAGCTCTGCTTGTTCTTTCATCTCCTCATCTTGTAGTTGACCTTGATCAGAAGGTTCAGCAGGTTTTCGTCTGGTGATCCTGGCAGGGATTGATGTTTCATCTTGGTTGTACTTGACATACCCTAAAGAGGTAGAGGTGGCACAAACTGTCGATGTTGTGCTGCAAGTACTCCTTGATGTGGATATGGGCGTCGCTGTGGTTCTCGGTGAGAGCAAAACCCATAGTGCCGCAAGGCCAGGTGAGCAAAACACCTTTGGAAAACTTTGGAGTGAGGATGATTTTCATACCACGTCCAAACCTGATGCCATTCAAGGTGAAGTGGTCGTAGTGGAAGTCTAAAACCATCTTGGCATCCTTAAGCATCTGCTCTGCAGTTGGACTCTCCTCCTTGGGAAACTTGACCATCTTGTACTCGCCTTTCTCATCCTTCAGGATCTCACCCATGGTGTAAGGTTTGAAGGGTGTGCATTGTTCTACCACCTTCTTCATTCGTGAGACTGCCTTCTCCACATCTGTTGAAGTCAAGGTGCTATTCTGGTTCAGGTAGATCAGGAAGGAGTCTCGTAGAGGTCTGATGTGTCGAAGTCCCATCAGGTAGGGCTTGCCGTTGAACTCGATGATTGCATTGCCAGCTTCTTCGTTGATTTGCAAGACAGTAGCTGGTCCACGCCATCCTTGACCAGATCCATCTTCTCTGAAGATCTCAACCTTGGTGGTTCCAGGGATCATGTCCTCAACAGCCAAGCGTTGTGGTCGTGAGCGATTTGCTCGGGCAATTCGGCTTTCCAAGATGGCAGCCTGGGCAGACTGCAAGGCGATCTGCCTGAGTCTCAAAGACTTCTCAAAGCTGCTTTCTTTGGGATCTGCTACTGGCTGATCTCCTTCGGGATCAAGAAAACCACGAGGTAATACACCAAATAGCATAGTGGCTGGTGTGTAACCTCCGACACTGAGAGTGAGGTTCTGCGCCATTGCGGCTTCTGCTGCCAAGTCCTCAGGTTGAAGCTCGATGCCGTAGCGGTTGCTCTCGGCTTGAATCTTCAACATTCCAATCTTGACCAAGTCGATATGGCGCTCCACCAGCCCAGTTGTTGTGTGCTGTTGTCCCTGCTTTCTCGTTGTGGTTCCAGCTGGACGTCATTCAATTCCAAGACGTTGAAATTCTTCTCCAGCTTCGACTGTCATCAAGCTGGATTCTTGGTCGGTCACAAGAATGCGCATGGGGCCAAAGTACCTGATCCATCCTCTCATCAAGGCACTCAGGATGTCGACCAAGTAGCGCCCATTGCAACTTGTGGCAACCTTGTATCTTGTGGCTTCATCAATGATCAGGATGAAGAGGTTGTCCTGAAATTGGAAAACGTCGCACTGGACCAACTCGTTGAAGTTGGAGGCCAAGTGGGTCTTGTACTGAGGTCGTCGGCCAGCTCTTGAGTATTTCCTGCAAATGGTGCAGGTGGCGATGGCATCACCGGTCAGCTTCCAAACATCATGAGGTTGTCCACAACGTATCAAGATGTTGCGAACATCAGCCACAGGTGAATGCCATAGACGTTCATGAAGTCCAAGAATCAATCTCTTTGCCTGCGTAGGGTCAGAGACAGCCAATCGAGGCAGCTTGTGGAAGATCCTCCTGAAGTCATAGACAGGCTTCAGTGAGCCAGGTTGTACTGCAACTTGTCCTTGTTCTTCTCCTTCATGTTCTGGTGGATCAAGTTGAGATAGTTCGCCTTCAGGTTGATCTCCTTCTGCATCTTCAGCATCAGCTACAGGAACCAGAGCCGTAGAGGAACTGGATGATGTAGTGCCCTTCTTCTTCTCCTCAGAGTCATCTCCAAAGACAGCAACCAACCAGTCCTCTTCCAGGTCGATCGGCTCATGCCATTGACTGGCACTCATTTCTCGCAAGTCCTCAATCTTTCCAATTGTCCACTTGGATGTTGAGCCTTTTATGATGAGGCGAAGAGGAGCTTCTTCCATCGTCAAGAAAGGTGTAGGTGTTGGCAAACTCCATGGTTGAAGACAAGCCAAGGCTCCTTTCGCATCCATCACTTCAGAAAAGATCTTGCGCAGCCAGCCAAGAGCTGTTGGGTCCAGTAGCCAATGTGTTTCAGGTAGAGGTTCTTTCTTGTTGTCAGCTTCCTCCAAACCTTTGATCGCCTCGTCCAAGAGCTTGACCATGACCATCTTGAAGACAGATGCCTGCTCGTTGTTGAAGGCGATGTCGGCATGGATGGAAAGCTTGCCTTTCTGAATCTTCTCGTTTTTCAAGGATTCTCTTCTGAAGGTTTCGAAGATATCCTCCTTCTCCTGCTGCTCTTTCTCGGCTTTCTTGAGATCTCGAGGGTTCTCTCCATCAGGCCATTTTCCATGTCGGCATTCTCCAGGGATGAAGGTGTGCCGCATCTCATCTGTGGCCGCTCAGCCGTGAACACATCTCTCGCACTTGTAGTAGTCGGAGAAGACGGTTGACTTGTTGCTCAGGAACCTCTTAATGTCTTTCACAATGGCCTTGGCCAGACATTCTGGGTGAACTGCTGCAATGGTGGTTCGGTTGGAACCTTTCACAGTTCCTTGCAGCCAACCATGTTTCTTGCCAAGGTGTCCATTGCATCTTTTGATGGAATGTTTCAAAGCCAGGTTGCTCTGCAATCCAGTAGGCTTTAAGATCGGGTTGTCGCTCTCGTCTTTGGCGCCAAAACGGCATTGATCAGTGCGTTCAGCTTGACCAGGATTGTCATCTAAATGCTCCCACATGGCGGAAGACCAAGGCTGCTCCCAGATACAGCCTCTTCGATGCTTGCACTGGTTCTTGGCCTTCTTCTTCAGGTACTCGATCACAGGCATTTCTTCTTGTCGCTCTTGCTGGGTTTGTTCCAGGTCTCGTCGCACAGAGGAAATGGACCATGGCCGGCAACTCGGACTCATGAAGTCGATGTCGGGCTTGAAGGTCTCCTCAATCTCGTCAATGAGCCGTCTGTGTGACGGACTTGTCAAATCCCAGCCATACCTGTAGTCCAAGGGGAACATGACAGCAAGGCCAGCGCACAAGGCCAAAAACGAAAGTCGTCCTGAGCCACTGCACATCTCCCAAAAGTGGAAGTGAGCTCCTTTTCTCTTTCTTGCCCAGCTTCTGGCATTTCTTGGAGTGACAGGAGCTCGTTGTGTGCGAGTGTAGCACTCCTTAGGGATGGCTCGATAGAGCTTGCTGAGATAGCGTAGCTTGCTCGTCTTCAGATGAGCTGGAAATTGATCGCCTGCATAGGCTTGTTGCGATTCATCATACGCTTCATCCATGTTGTCCGACTTGAGGACCTGGATCGCTGGCTCATCATCTGCCACCTTGATCTTGTTGATGTTGTTGTCGGACTGGTGCTCGTCCATGATGTCGGCAACGTCCTTAGGCTCAGTCTCAGTTGTGAACTGAAGCTTCTGCTTGAAGTTCCCGCTGTTGTCAAAGTTCTCAACGTTGTTGGGCTTGATGTCATAGTTGGTCCTGCTGTTCTTGGCATCAAATTTGGAGTCATAGTTGGAGTCGGACTGCTCACATGCCGCCGTATGGCCGTGTCGTCCTTGCCAAAGTCGAAGAATCGCATTCTGCTCCTCAGGCGTCATGTCTTGATCCTCCTTGTTGACTGGCAGGATGTAGTGGCCAGATTCGGCTAGCAAGAGCTTCATCACGACCAAAGATGCTTGTGGGTCATCTGGTCGAAGTCCATTCAAACTGCACAGCATCACACCATCACCGTTGTCATACCACTGCGTCATCACTGCTGTTCGAAGTTGCCGAAGGCTTCCATTGGGAAGTAGTGCTGGGCAGTTGGAGCCCTCGCCACCGATGACATCTGCAGTGTACTCCGCATCCTCTGATCCGATCTGGAAGGGAATGCTGATTCTGGTCAAGGTTGCATCGGCTTGACCTGAAATGCCAGTGACAGTGGTGCTGGCTTCATTCCATGTGATGTCCTTGATCTTGTCGGGTGGTACCATTCCTGAGGCCAACAAATCTCTGAGTGTTTCTGATCCAATCAGTCCACTGCTTGCACCTGGATCCACAAGAAGTCCTCGGATGCGTCGTCCTCGAACTTGATGAAAGATCATCTCGTTCTCCTCGACCACCGGGAAGTTCAGCTTCTTGGGGTTCACTTCAATGTCGATCTGCTCGGTCTCGGGCTGGTCGTTGAAGCGAACTCGTCGGGCAGGAAGTGGATCGATCTGGTTGAAGGTGTCCTGAATGATGATCTTGTCCAAGGTGTCCTTCTCGTCCTTCTCAGGTGATGTGTTGTTGCTCATCAGGTATGCTCCACCATAGTGGTCGTTGTAACCCTTTGGCATCTCCTCCATCCAGAAACCTTTTCGTCCTTGTTTGGAGCCATAGGGCATGTATCCTTTCTTGCCGTAGGACTTGGACTTGCCGTAGCCTTTCCTGTAGGGTTTGCCATAGGACTTGCCACCATAGGATTTGCCCTTGCCCTTGTTGAAGCCTTTTGACTTCCCTTTTCCAAACGTTGGGTTCTTGCCTTTGTAGGAGTCATTCATCGGGCAAGAGTGCGTGTTGTGCCATTTCGATCCACAGGTGCTGCATCCAAGTCCCATGACCTGAGAACGGCCTTTGCCTTTTCCTTTGAAGTACTCTCCAGACTCCTCAGGGGCGGTCTCTTGTGGTTGGTGTTCCTCACCTTCAGCTTGTTGAGGTTCTTCATCATCCCAACCGTAGTCATAGTGCTCGGCAGGCCAGTCCTCGTAGTAGGTCTCGGCAGTCTCATAGTCCCAGGGGCTGTAGTTCCAATCGCTCTCATACCAGGCGTAGAGGTCATCGGCGATGTAGCCGTCTTCAGACCAGTAGTCCGTCACAGCGCTCCAACTTCCGTCATCTTCTCGACATTCTTCATAGTGCGACGAACTTCCATGGTCAAGGTTGCGGTGTGCCATGCGCAACATCAAGGTTCTGGCTTCATCAAACCTCCTCATGTCTCCATGGACCTGCAACAAGATGTCGTCCAGGGATTTCTGTGCCAACCCTGAGCTCTTGAAGTACAAGTAGGTCTTTGCGACATTGTTGAGGTCCAGGCCACTGTGGGTGATCGCCTCATCCAGGTTCAGCTGCCACTGCACGCTCCATTCGGGGATTGACATTCTGTTCCTTCTGAACTCAAAGAATGTCTCCAAGGCTCGAGTTGCCTGAAGCTGGTCAGCTTCGCCGAATGCAGCTCGGAGTGCTGTCATCAAGGCTTGCACTCCTGAAGGAATGGCATGCTGTATGATTTGTCCTGATGTAGGGTCTCGGACTTCTTCGACTGACAACCTTACCAAGGCTGCGTCACCGATGTCTATGTGTCCATGTGGATCTTGTAGACGAAGTCCAAGGGCGACCTGTTGCGCTCTGCCGCGCAATCTTCCCGCTAGTAGCGGGCCCACATTTTCATCTGCTCCATCATATACTCGGTACCATAGTCTGACCCTTTCTTGGTACAGCTTCAGCGGGTAGGATGGAACATTTGGCTCCCATCCTGGTGGCACATCCTTCCGGTACTCTTCCATGGGTATTCCTCCTCCAGGTACATGCGCTGTCGCCATTGCTCCTGCAAGTAGGTGAGGTCCAAGGCCAAGTAGAAGTCGATCACCGCCGCAAAGACGTAGTCCAGGCTGTAGGCGTAGTCCAGGATGAAGTGGGCGTACTCCTCGAAGACAAAGTCCAGGAAGTGGTGGTCGAAGTTCTCGGCCAAGTAGACGTCGTCCAAGATCTCGTAGATGTAGTCCCGGGCCAGGCGGATGGAGTCCAGGTTCAGGTGGAGGTAGTCCAAGGCCAGAAAGACGTAGTCCACGATCTCGAAGGCGAAGTCCAGGGCAAAGCGCAGCTCGTAGTGCTCGTAGTTCGTTGTGCTATGGCGTAGGCGTGAGCCGAAGACAGAGACGGGGCAAATGGAGCCTAACAAGAGCTCCGCTACCAAATTGAGCAGGTAGCACTTTTCACGTGCACAGAGCCAAAGGTGCACCTGTATGTTTAGGTGTTGTGGTGTTACCACATGGAGTGAAAATGACATGTCTCTTACATGCCAAAAGTTGAGTTTAATATTTTACATATTAGAAACGTAATTTGACATTTCATTTCTTTCAAAATACATTATATTGTATTCAATATTTTCAGATACAATATATAGTTTTTCAAATTTCAATATTAGAAAATTAACATCTACATATTTTTATCTATCAATACATATTTTTTCAGAAGGGTACACCCTTGGAGTGCGGGTTTTCACTGCATTCTAGAACCACTGACACTGCACATGTGCCGTGGTTCTCTCACTGCTTTGCAACCATTGGCAATTTCTGTAATTTCTGTTTGGTTTTTCTGCATTGGCTAAACAAAACCAAAAACGCCCCTGCCGCCGACCCCGGAACAAAAGACCAGGAAAACGCGTTTTTGTCCCTTAGCATTTGTTTCTTAATATTATGTTTCAAATTTTGGAACACAAAAAATCACCGGAAACCTGATCGTTTTGATGGGAAGACCTCGGACAGAAATATTTAACGGGCATAATCCATGATGTCTTGGGTAAATACATGTAAATTGGCGGTACAGTAAGCAAAACCACCATTTAATCACAACGAACCCTATTATACCCCCATTGTTGTATAAATAGTCCCATTTAGATTTTCTCATATCCGACCAATTTATGTGGGAACACTCCCAAGATTTTCTCGTACCCTGTTTTATGAGAACACGCTCAACAATTGTTAATATCATTTTTCTTTATGCACCTCCCTGTTGTCAGGATGTCAGTTACAAAAAGTGCTGACGCACACCCCCAATGGGGGTCGGGTGATCACCAAGGTCACAATTAATCAAACAAAATTGATATAAATATTGTTCAGTGCTTCGCACCTTCAGGCCTTCTCCTCCTTTTTAGATAGATAGATATATATATATATATTAATTTACATTTATTTGATAGATATTTTTTATGAGTTGATAAACATATTTTTTGATATAGACTTATAGACTTAAGAAATAGTAAGAACCCTACATATGCACACACACACACCACCCACCAAACCTCTTTACCCTCCTGTCAGTAGTTCCTCGGCGAGCTCAACCAGAGTTTGGGTCTGGAGCCTTTCAGAATTAATCAGAATAACATAAACCCTCCCATTTACCCGCTTTTTGTGGCAAGGCGCAATATTGCTCGTGGCAAGGTGCAGCAACTAGCTACAGCGCACAGTATGCATAGCTTTTTTTTGGGGGGGCACTATTGGTTTGAACAAGGTGTATGTAACCTGTATGTAGTTTTCAGGCCAAGTGTCTTTGCTATTGCTAGGTGCTCTTTGTGCAGTTTCTTTATGCCTATTGCCACCCGTCATTGCACAATCCCTTTTACACAGTGGTCTAGGTGGGCAAGGCGCAGTATTCTTAGTGGCAAGGCGCAGCAACTAGCTAAAGCGCACTGTCTGCATAGCATTCATATTTTTTTGTACTAATGGTTTGAACATGTTGTATATAGTTTTCAGGCCAAGTTTTTTTGCTATTACTAGGTGCTCTTTGTGCAGTTTCTTTATGCCTATTGCCACCCATCATTGCAAACTCCCTTTTACACGGTGATCTAGGTGTCCAAGTGTCCAAGTTTGTCCAAAGTCTTGTCCTTTCCCTGTGAGGAATTCTATACTTGCAATGATCCACATCAAAGTCTGGGTGCTGCAGAAGCGCCGTATGAAATTGTGCTGCATAAGCGCCATGTGAAACGGTGCTGCATAAGTGCTGTATGAACTTACTATTTGTGTGGTGTTTCTATTCCCACGTCCCCTCTCATGCGATATCATGCCCCTACAAAATGACATGTTTCCTTCCAAGGGTATGTTTGTTTTGAATACTGCATTTGTTGGCAGGCAGTTGGATTTCTTAAGCCTCCCACCGTGTAAAAAACGATATGGGAAAATACGATGGCCAGACATGTTTGGCCATCGTATTTTCCCATGTTGGTGTTCTTCTGAATTTTTCAGATTTTTTCTGAAAATCTGAAATTTTCAGATTTTTTCTGAATTTTTCAGTTTTTTTCTGAAAATCTGAAATTTTCAGAATTTTTCAGATTTTTTCTGAAAATGTTGTATTATATTTAAATTTAGATTTAAATAAAAATCTGAAATTTTCAGAATTTTTCTGAATTTTTCAATTTTTTTCTGAAAATCTGAATTTTTTGGACTTTTTCTGATTTTTTCGTTTTTTTTTCTGAAAATCTGAAATTTTCAGATTTTTTCTGAATTTTTCAGATTTTTCTGAAAATTTGAAATTTTCGGACTTTTTCTGATTTTTTCAGATTTTTTCTGAAAATCTGAATTTTCAGATTTTTTTCTGAAAACCTGATTTTTTCAGATTTTTCCAGATTTTGTTGTTTTTTTTCTTGTTTTTTGGTTTCTTGTTTTCTGGTTCATGATGGTGGTTTGTTGAAGGGGCTCTTTGCCAGTTCTCCCACTTTAGTGGTTGCAAGCTTGCTTTTGGCTCATTTTATTATTTGCTTTAGGCCTGTGGTTCCATTAGCAAACAATGTAAACAACTATGGCAAAATGCAGGTGCCACTGGATATGTAATTTCTCAAAAACTGTGTTGAACAAATGCAAAAACATAGGCAGCCAATGCATGTGTGGAACTGATTTTGATAATGACATTCTTGGCTCAAACCCTTGGGTATGCACATGTTCAAACATTTTGAAAGATAAGTGCATGTCTCTTATAAAATGGTAGAGCCCGGTAGAGCATCCCATTGAAGTAGGGCATGTCTTAGTCTACTTCTATGTCAAAAATGAACCCTCTTGCACATGCAATGCCCTTTTCACACTATATTTTCTTAAATGCAGAACACATGGTACATGTAAGCACGTCAGATATGTCCGTCACAATTGCACATCATTTTTCTGAATGCATAATGTGATATTTTTCCAAGACAACGAACCATATTTTGGGAATAACACCCTTTGGTGTAGGCAGCCCCCCTCTTGAAAAATATTGTAATTTGAAGAATGTGCATATTTAAATCTTCAATCAACCATTTTTTGAACATATGGTAGTGCTCACAGTTTCAAACATATTGCACTTTTGAAAGGGGTGCTCTATGTCAATAATATTGCATATACACGCGGAAATATTGACTCTTCTAAAAGGGGTACTGCTCCTTTGAAAGGAGGGTTAGACATCTGGAAATGCACATTGCACTCCTTCAAAGGGCATGGTGCAACTTTTCAAGGAATACTTCATATTCTCTTTGGATTATGTCCCTGCAAAAACACCCCAAAGGACGGTTGCTCTTATTCAGAAGGATATTTTGTTTTGAATACTGCATTTGTTGGCAGGCATTGGGATGTTGTAATTATGTTGAAGTGATGTTGTAATTATGTTGAAGTCATCTACCATATTATGCAGAAATTGTGTTTGTTGAAGGTACACTGTAGTAGCATTTATCCAAGGTAGAGTGAACACCTGGACACTTCTTCAAGCAATGCATGCTCTCTAGTGGGCATGAGCACAGCTTCATATGTAGCTTAAATTTTAATGTGATTACAGTTTTGAAAAAACAAAAAAACAGAAGGGCATGTTTGTTTTGAATACTGCATTTGTTGGCAGGCATGGGGCTGTTGTAAATATATTCAAGTCATCTAGCATATTCTGCAGAAATTGTGTTTTGTTGAAAGGACACCGTAGTGGCATTTATCTAAGGTAGAGTGAACACCTGGACACTTCTTCAAGCAATATATGCTCTCTAGTGGACATGAACATAGCTTCATCTGCGGTTTAAGCTTCAATGTGATTACATTGTCCTGCTCGTTTTTTTGTACTTGTTGTGTTTTTTTTGGTTTTGTTTATGTCAATATTTTCCTTTAAAATATGAAACATATTTTTTTGCTAAATTCAACTTGTTACTTCAAAAAAAACGTATCATGACATATGAAATTTTCTCCTCCAAACTAAATTGTTCAATTTGTTATTGACGTTTGTTGTAAGATAATTCTAAACAAATATTATTTTGAACTTTAATTTCAAAACAAATGTTGTTGTTTTTAAATACTTATTTATTTCAAGTTTTTTTTGCATGTTTTTGAAAAATACTATGACAGCTTTAATTTTCAGGTTAGTACATTAAATATTGAATGTGTTTTTTCATTGGCATCATTTTTAGTTGTTAAATACAATTTCCCTATCATTTCACAGAAAATACAAACGACGAAATTAAAAAAGATATGAGCACGTTTTTTTTGCCACTTGTCTTTAACTGATCAAATGTCCATGCTTGGCAATCTAAATAAAATGTATAGAAAACTTATCTTGACTTATGTTGAATTATGTTGAATTATGTTGACTTATGTTGACTTATGTTGATTATGCTAAAGTTAGACATTTTTAGTCAACATCATAAATAACATAATCCAACTTAATCATCATAAAATCGGATGATAAGTATCATAACTTTTAAACACTTGTATCTTAGCTGAGTTGTGAGCCTAGTTATAACTGGATAGAACCTAGGTTTTAAAGGGGGGTTGACGTAGTACAACGTCTCGCCTTGAAGTCCCGACCTTTCCGACACCGACAACAAACTTTGTGGCTCACACAGGACCATCCTTCTCCGCTTCTTGCCCACCTTGTCCCATTCCAGTTCACGAAGTGCATTGCCCTCCTACATCTCCAACTATGCCGAGTACACCAGCTACATTACCTGCCCATCCACTTCACTCTACGCCTCCAACTACAACGACACAATCTTCACCACATCCTAAACACACAGCTTTCAAAGCCGCTCCGAAGATGCGCGCTGAAAAACGATTGGACAGACCTCGCCGTTCAGCTCCAGCCCCTTCGACTACCTCGACAACCAGTGCATCTCCAGCTCCTCCTGTTCCTCCTACCGTTCAACAAGACTTGACCAACTTGGAGACCACCGCAAAGGAACTGGCCGAATCCTTTCGCCTCATCCAAGCACAGCAGCAACAGCTCCTCATGGAGTCTCAACGTCTTCATGAACAGCAACAACAACAACAACAACAGCCCCGGCAGAAC